TCTGTTGTTCTCAATCAAGTATAATTTTTTATTCTTTGCTTCTTTTGGTATGTGTTATTTTGTGATGCACTTAACCAATTTGGAATTTAAGGTATTACAGATTTAAAAACCTTATTTTTTCTCAATTTCCTGAAAGTTTAATATCTAATAAGACAAAATAAGAGTTATTAACTTCTGCAAATTTCATTTTGCTATCTTTTTTAGTGAAGGAGTTATAAAGCAAAAAGTAATTTGAGAGCAGAAAGGAAGGCGCGAGATTTATGATACTTCATGTCAACTTCATCTCGTCACCTAATTAACGATTTCAAACCACTATTGCTCACTGTCCAGGTTTATACAGTCCGAAATCGCTCATTTATTATCAAGCTTCTTACATAAGTTCTTTTCGGAAGCTAGAGATTGGTTTTTGTAATTCAAGTGTTGTTTTTGGGCTGGTATCATGTCCAAAAGCGACAAGTCTTTTTTGCCGCTCTGGAAAAAAGAAAATTTCTTCGCAGTTTGCATCGAAGCGGAAATATTGTTCACCGATAATGATAGGGGTCTCTACTAGACTTAGGAGATTCAGTGGCCAGACTCTATTTCTATCAAAGTTTCCATAGGCGCTAGTTAGCGAAAAATATCGCCCACAGTCCATCATCATTTGCGTGACATCGCACTTCGAGCATCGACCGTTGAAAAGCTGTATTGCGTTTCCAGTGTAAGCTTTCCTTTCTATGCCTGACCTCTTTCCTCTTATTTTTGCTCGTTAAAGCACCTTCCGTATCGACACAAATAGCTAAATATTTTCACGTGTAATTCTTAACCTACTCGACCGAAGCTCCTTACAACTGTTGTGTCCGTTCTTTGCTGTCTGGCACGCTTTAGCGCCGACAGGCAAAACAGTGTCGAATGGCTTGCTCCATGCTATTGGGTAACAGCCCTCATAGGCGTGAAATGGAAACGCATGTTGGCAAACAAACACCAACGCTCCGAAAAATTTCAAGTCACTTTTCCTCGTAAAGTGTTTCGGCTTGGTTCTGATCTTTGAAGAGTTTATTCTCGGCTGGCATTCGGTTAATTTTCGTGATTCATAGAGATAATTTCGGAAATATAATGAACCCTAAAAGGCTGTCCTGGATTTTCGACTGTTTTCCTTATTTCTTGACATAGAGCGTCTACATTGAAAACTTTGCTCAAAAGCGCTACTTTGAAGTTAAAAGAATAATTTAAAAATAACGAGACGTTAAATTACAAATCCAAGACGCTTTTTTAGTTCAATATGTGCAGATCACCTTCCGACAGAAAAGAAACGTTTTGATTAAAATGCGTCGTCAAACAAACTTATGTTGTAAAACGTCTCGGCGTGAAAGAATAAGCTCCCATTCTGTTTCCTGATAAAAATTATAGAATTAAATTACATATCCGAAATAAGTGTTTATTAAGCTTTAAAAAATGTATACTTTTACAGGGATAGCGCGCACAATTTTAACACGATATCAGTTTGAATAAGAACGTTAATTTTCCTTCTGTGATACCTTAAGTTTGGAGAGCTGCTTGCCAAAGCGTGAAGTGAATGCTCGCCCGATAACTACAAGCTTTTTCAGTTGAAGTTTTTGAACATGAAGTACAGGAAAGGAGTTGCCTCTCTGAGAATGTCTTTCATCAGGCACCATCTCATTGTCAGATATGTAAAATATAATTTTCTTTTTTCGAATCTGTAGAAAGCAGCGTCTCCATCTTTCTTTTAATGTCGTCCTTCATTCAAACAGCATCAACATTTTACTTCAGTCAGTCAAGTCGAGTTTTTGGCACTTGAAAATCCCTAATCAGAGGCAGATATAACTATTGCGAGCCTTATAAACGCTGAGACGCGTATACCTTAAATGTTGTATTGGCCAACTTGTGCAATAGATACCTGTTTTTATAGTTTCAGCAGTTGAAGAGCTCGAGTTACGAAAGTTGAAGAAATAAGTTACGCACCCTTTTCAATCTCAAAACGAGCTATAGTGGAGGGTACTTGTTTCACAAGTTAAAACTAAATACCAATACATAGATGTAACAGAAGGAAAATTTCTTTAAAAACGGTAGGTCATGACAACTTTTCTAACATCTCGGTGAGATCTCGCAAATTAACAACTGGTTTCTTACCGTTAATTTTCGATTTGTTTTGCGTTCGTTGAAGTGTTTGTAGTATCACGTTACAACAAAATTATAACGAATATTAAGACTTCCTTTTTTATGACAGTAGCTTGCAAACGTAAGTCACAAACAGAAGAGAAAGCCTGCTTTTCGACGTGTTTTGAAAACTATTTAAGAGGAGCCCTATCCGAGGGATGCAATTTGACAGCTTAAACTGTTTCACTAAACAAAATTTCTTTAAAATTCGAATTAAGCTATCATATAGGAGTATTTCATATGTAAATTCTCGTTTCATGTCATGTCGACTATGTAATTTCTTGATATGGCGAATAAGTTTTCGCCGGATAAATTTCTCACTTCTAATTTTGTGAAAATATTTTGTCAAACCGGTTAAAACCTTCCCTTCAAAATAAAAAAAAAGGGTTTGAAAGATCCACCAATGAATCATCAATCGCTAGTTGTTTGGAGGCAGGTGAAGAATTTTTACTTATCTATTTTTAGTCTCATTGTAAACGTCAAAATCGCCCAACTCTTTTTTGCAGATATATATGTGTTAAGCTCAGTCTTTTTCATAATAAGAGCACATTCGATTGAGTGTCATAAAACCAAAACAGAAGAAAGCGAGAGGCTAACGAGAAAAAACCACAAGGAGCCACTGAATATGTCTTTAATGATCTTTCAAATTGGTCCCAGGCAATTAGCTTGAGGCTCGAGTTGATAAAGAATTGTACTTTTGAATATAGAACCAAAGCAAGATAACTCTGAAAATATAGACCCGATTTGGAGAAACAATTCTGGATTTCTGAAACCCTACTTAAATTAAATTGAGACACTTTCCACTGTTTCATTAAACAAATTCTTTTTACAATTCGAATTAATTTGTCATAAATGAGTATTTAATGTATAAATTCTCATTTCATATCATATCGACCATGTAATTTCTTGATATGGTGAATAACTTCTTGCCTTTATAAATTGTAATTTCGATCTTTCATTTTGTGATGGGTCTTTCTAATGAAAATATTTGTTCAAACCGGTTGAAACCTTCTCTTCTAAAGAAAAAAGGGATTGAGATGTGTGTAGCGAACGCACCGGCAAATTTCAAAACGGTCACACGAACCATACAATTTATTCGTAACCAGTGGTTTCTGAAACATGATTAACTTAAATTACACTACAGCCAACTACCGACAAAAATGATTACGATCACAAAGCGCAACATCAAACGGCAAAAGACAACGCAAAACGTACCTGACGGTTTGGATAGAAGGAGTACACGAGATGCAGCAAAGAAAGGATCATAGCACGACAAACTGCATAACATTATTGTTCTTTTCGCGCGAAAATTTCAATATATATATATGGACGCGAGGGGACTGAAGCCCAATTTGCAGATAAACCGCTGGCCCTTAAATTTGTTGTAACAATGTGAATAAATGAATCATCAAACGTTAGAGGGAGGGCTGGTCAAGAGCATAAGTGTGTATCATTGCCTAAGCGTGCTTCTACAGTAATCCTGAAAGTCTCATCTAGAGTCATGTTTTGAAGCAGTTCTTGCGTTCCTTTTGATTGTGTCGATGGCGAATCCATTGCTTCCATAATGCCCAGTCTCGTTAGGGAGAAATCAGTGCATTTGCCATCATCATTCGAGTGGTGAATTCTAATCTGAGCCCTCAGTGTGATGTCGCAGGGCTTATAATACTGCTATGAAAAATATAATTGGACGAGTTTAATTACCAAATCAAACAGATAAACTGAGAGCAGTCTACGACAGTGTTGTAGAGACCTGATTCATCGATTCTTTGTGGGATGTCGCCCAACTCGAACTGAAATTTGTGAAAAGATACGGGCCAGAGAAGTTACATATATTGGCACAAGCATCTTTCTCCTTTAATAAGATACATGAAAAAATTACTCAGTTCTGACTGGTTAAGATAAATGCAGATGTGATTCAATGCAGAAGAGGGTTGAAACATTTCTATTTAGGAAAGCTTTTAGTTTGTTTCAATAGTTCTAATGTTTATTGCCTTTGAATATTTTAATTTTAATTAGTATAGAACTTTAACTTATGTAAAGTGCTTCTGAATATTGTTTATAGTTTTAGCACAATATAAATTCCTTATCATTATCATTACCATTAATTCAGTGCAAAGAAGTAACAAACCAGACTGAACAATTCCTTGAACTGTTTAGCCGGACTTTGAAGTTTTGTGCGCGTTAAAATATCATTGTATATTATTGTTTTGATCGTACGCAGTTGTCTTGACCGTATTTTTTCATGTATATTATTAATACGGAATCACATTATTTCTCTCAATTTGGAATGAATAAGAACTTTTTAAAAGACCACAAATTGAACTGGCCCTATGGGCTCGTGCAATTTTGTTAGTCTGGAAAAATTTACTCGTGCTTATTTATTCCAAATTGCACTCGAAATCATGTGATTACCTATACTAATGGTCCAACTTTGCTTTTTAACTTATCTCATCGTACATATACGAAATCAAACGTGATGCTGAAGGCTCGTCTCTCACTTGTGAAAAATCAATGAAACATCTACCTGAGCTCCGTTCGTAGTATCATTCTACGGCGAACAACCCCCCCCCCCTCCCTCCCCCCCAATTTCCATGGTTAGTCTTAGCAGTTTTCCACATCAGCTTGGCAGAGTGGTGTGGGTGTCCAAAAACAAGTATTCCAAGAACGCTAGTGTCGATTGACTATTTATTAAGCAAACAGAAAATTATTGTGTGTTATCCAGATTTTAGAAAACGGTAAAGTTGTTGGAGATATGCATTTTTAATTGAATTCTGCATTTATGGAAAGGGCCTAAATAACGCATGACGCATTTTTTAATGAAAACGTGCAAAATCCAAGCGGTCGATACTATGTAAGTGATCTGTAGTGAACCTCTTCAAGATCAAATTACTCAGCGTCTATTGCACATATGATTGACTGACTTTTTTAATTAGGAGAGTGACCTCTACTCCCGAAACAGGTTTCCTCCTCTCCAATGACAATATTGGAAAACTCGGAAAACCTTAAGTTCTTGAGGTACTGGTAGAAGCAAATTCTAGCTGCAACATTTTCTGTCTGTTCAGGGCATTCGGTTTCATAGGTGTCACTGCTGTCTTACCCCCCAACGACGGGCGAAATGAGTAGTCCGTCACTTGTGAACCAACGGCCTGGTGTGTATTTTGTTCAGGTTTGAGAAGAATTACGAAAATCTTCGGAGCGAACATGCAAATTAATAGTCCATAAGAACTGACGAGTATCATGGCGCAAGTCAAGTTTGTTGCGTGGGAACCCCTCAAGCCAATGTCAATAGGGAAGTATGCTATACTTGAAAGAAGTAAGATGTACATAGAGAATCCAATATACTTCGCTTCGTTGAAGTTTTCAGGAAGTGTTCTAGCTTTGAAGGCGTAATATGTACAAGCCACTGCAAGAAGAGACGTGTACACAGATATAGCGATTTGAAAACTCATTCCAACGTACGATTGATGCAAAGAACACGAAAGAAGGATTGAACCTCTATTTGTCTGTATGATCCGTTGCTGGTGTGGCGAGTCCAAAGTAATCCATAACGAGCAGAATACAGCTGGTGGAAATATTAGCATCAGAACGATAAAGGTTTGTCTCTTTGTGGAAAGAATGAATTTTTTGAATCTCTCGGCCATAACGTTTATTTGGAATGCGCTGAGTATCTTCATGGTCTTAATTATCAGTATGGAGATGATTGTTACGAGAACCATGGGCCGCCAGCAGTGAAGCAAAGCGCACGTAAAGCTCGTAGGCTTGGTGAGGGATAAAATAGAGGAAGAAAAGGACAGTGCGATTGTAAACAGAAGGATAGAACTTAACTCGCGGTTAGCTGCTTTGACAAGGGGAGTATTCCAGAGTTTAAAGAGAATGAAACTGCAAATGGCAAGGAGAAGGAATCCAGCAGTCGCAAACAGAACGATAAGGACAGACGCAGTGCTTGACCACATGACTTCTACTTCAGGAAGATCCAGGCATTTTGACCTCCGTACATTGGGCTTTTTTCCTCGAGGACACAAGGTGCAATTCATATCATTCACTCCAGCGCTAACAGTTCCATCCGAACATTTGTGGCAAGTCCAACAGCAAGAGGTCGTCGGCAACTGATATTCACCAGCAAGGCAATCTCTATGGCAGAACGACTTTGGAATAATTTTGTGACCTGCCGCGGTATTCCACTTTATGCCGGAAACGTTTAACTGAATTCCCTTTCGACTTTCATCCCACGATCCGATGGCTAATTTTATTAAATCGGAGTTTTCATTCATCTGAAAATGTACAATATCATAAGACGATATTTTAGGGTCTCCAAACTGATCAAATTGGATTTCCCCAGTTACTCCTGGAAATGCGACTTGGCGGAGATGCGCCTCGAGTTTCTTTGGATCGACTGTAGGATAGATTTTGCTTAAGTTGTGAATAGCAAAGGCAACAGCAAACACGGCATCTACCATATAGGGAATGTAGCTGTTGTATACCGAACGAATAACTGTCTCATTGGAAGATGAATTACCTTTTTGCTTCCAAAACTCTTTCCACCAAGGAGCAGAGGTGCTTTCCTCTTGTAAGGACTTGATGGATTCTTTGATCAAGAAATCTTGGAAACATTGAACATCAAAATGATGAAGTTCAATACCAAATGATCCATGAACAACTCCTTTATGTTCGTCTTTCATTTTCATAAGGTCCTCCCTTCCAGCTGTCAAACTATCGCTGAAAATCCAGGTGCGGTCGTACATTTTCTGTTTTGCAGCCTGCTCGAGCAATCGACGTCCATATCCTTTTAATAGCCATAGCACTACAACACGAACATTTGTGTGGCTTCGAAGCTTCTCCACGGTTCTTTCTAGCTTTGTTATGTACTTTTCTCTTTTTGGTATGTAATCTGCAAAAGAAAGACAAAATGTCTGCCTTTCGCCTGCCTCAGTTTCCAAGCTCCGGACCCCATTCCGACCGTAAGAATCGTCCATTGCCACAGCAGCCACGTAGCTCCAATTGAAGTAATCTATTATATCGGCCATTGCCCTCGCCTGCTTTCTATCAGGGGGAGCAGTGCGAAAAAAGTAACTGTACTGCGGGGAGCTTAACTCATCGCTTGTTGCCGAGTGACTGACGAGTGGGATTTCAGCCACTTGTAAAAGGCTCTCTACAAAGATCGCAGCCTCTGAATCGGTCGGACCAATCACAGCTGTTATTGGAGTAGGTTTCTTCTGTTCTGTGTTATTCTTTAATGCACCAACGAACCTGGCGTTTTGAAATTCTAAAGCCAATTCATTTATTCGGACAAAATCGTACGTGTGTTTCGTTGCCTTTACAGTGCTTCTGCAGTAGTCTCGAATGTCATATCCTAGAGTGATATTTTTAAGCAGCTGTGGGTTCCTGTTGATTGCATCGATGGCGAACTTCATAGCTTCCACATGGCCAAGTCCTGTTGGGGAAAAATTAACGCATTCGCCATCATCATTGGTGGCGTGTAGTGTAATCAAAGCTCCGATTGTGATGTCGCCAGGCACATGATAACGATCTTTACTTGTCGTCCCCGACGACGTCTGAAAACCATAGGATACCACCACCACTGAAAGTAACATGTAGTTGAGTACGAACATTTGCAAAGTGTTTCAGTCTCGCCCTGTGTAGAGGAGAAAAGGGAGTAATTGAAATAGCTTGTCGTTTTGCAAAAAATCATGGCACAAAGCGACATATCGACTCAAACAGATCAACTGAAAATGTCATGTTTTAGCGTATTGTATCATGGCCTGCAGCAGCGGAAAGTAACGTTTATTCCGTGATAATTGGTTTACTGTTCCACATTCTAAAATGCCATTTCTGTTACCAAAACCGGAATTCTCGCACCAGATCATAAATGTTTTAAACTTTGGCTTGGCAGAGTGATTTTGATGTTCAAAAACAGGCATTGAAAACGTCATTTATGAAGCAATAGAGCAGAGTATTTAACAATTATAAACACTTTTAAGCTCCCGAAAACAACGATTTTTTCCGCAATTGTTTCACGGCTCGTTTACAAATTTTTTTTTTACTTTGCTGACGAATTTATTGACCACATTTTCCGGTTATGAGCTCGGAGCCAGGTTACAAGACCATAACCTGGTTCCGTTTAGCCAATCAGAAGGATGGTAAAATTGGTTGAAATATGCGTTTTTAACTGATTTACTTATTTATGTGGAGGAGACCTAGCCAGCGGGTGACGCATTAGTCAAAAAACAGGTGTGTGACACCCAAGTGAAATTCGGCGACGCTAAAAACACACTAGTAATTTAACAACGGAATATCATTCATTTTTTGGTTTCCCAGACAGTTCTGTTGTTCTCAATCAAGTATAATTTTTTATTCTTTGCTTCTTTTGGTATGTGTTATTTTGTGATGCACTTAACCAATTTGGAATTTAAGGTATTACAGATTTAAAAACCTTATTTTTTCTCAATTTCCTGAAAGTTTAATATCTAATAAGACAAAATAAGATTTGTTAACTTCTGCAAATTTCATTTTGCTATCTTTTTTAGTGAAGGAGTTATAAAGCAAAAAGTAATTTGAGAGCAGAAAGGAAGGCGCGAGATTTATGATACTTCATGTCAACTTCATCTTGTCACCTAATTAACGATTTCAAACCACTATTGCACACTTTCCAGGTTTATACAGTCCGAAATCGCTCATTTATTATCAAGCTTCTTACATAAGTTCTTTTCGGAAGCTAGAGATTGGTTTTTGTAATTCAAGTGTTGTTTTTGGGCTGGTATCATGTCCAAAAGCGACAAGTCTTTTTTGCCGCTCTGGAAAAAGAACATTTCTTCGCAGTTTGCATCGAAGCGGAAATATTGTTCACCGATAATGATAGGGGTCTCTACTAGACTTAGGAGATTCAGTGGCCAGACTCTATTTCTATCAAAGTTTCCATAGGCGCTAGTTAGCGAAAAATATCGCCCACAGTCCATCATCATTTGCGTGACATCGCACTTCGAGCATCGACCGTTGAAAAGCTGTATTGCGTTTCCAGTGTAAGCTTTCCTTTCTATGCCTGACCTCTTTCCTCCTATTTTTGCTCGTTAAAGCACCTTCCGTATCGACACAAATAGCTACATATTCTTGCGTGTAATTCTTAACCTACTCGACCGAAGCTCCTTACAACTGTTGTGTCCGTTCTTTGCTTTCTGGCACGCTTTTGCGCCGACAGGCAAAACAGTGTCGAATGGCTTGCTCCATGCTATTGGGTAACAGCCCTCATAGGCGTGAAATGGAAACGCATGTTGGCAAACAAACATCAACGCTCCGAAAAATTTCAAGTCACTTTTCCTCGTAAATTGTTTCGGCTTGGTTCTGATCTTTGAAGAGTTTATTCTCGGCTGGCATTCGGTTAATTTTCGTGGTTCATAGAGATAATTTCGGAAATATAATGAACCCTAAAAGGCTGTCCTGGATTTTCGACTGTTTTCCTTATTTCTTGACATAGAGCGTCTTCATTGAAAACTTTGCTCAAAAGCGCTACTTTGAAGTTAAAAGAATAATTTAAAAATAACGAGACGTTAAATTACAAATCCAAGACGCTTTTTTAGTTCAATATGTGCAGATCACCTTCCGACAGAAAAGAAACGTTTTGATTAAAATGCGTCGTCAAACAAACTAATGTCGTAAAACGTCTCGGCGTGAAAGAATAAGCTCCCATTCTGTTTCCTGATAAAATTATAGAATTAAACTACATATCCGAAATAAGTGTTTTTTAAGCTTTAAAAAATGTATACTTTTACAGGGATAGCGCGCACAATTTTAACTCGATATCAGTTTGAATAAAAACGTTAATCTTCCTTCTGTGATACCTTAAGTTTGGAAAGCTGCTTGCCAAAGCGTGAAGTGAATGCTCGCCTGATAACTACAAGCTTTTTCAGTTGAAGTTTTTGAACATGAAGTACAGGAAAGGAGTTGCCTATCTGAGAATGTCTTTCATCAGGCACCATCTCATTGTCAGATATGTAAAATATAATTTTCTTTTTTCGAATCTGTAGAAAGCAGCGTCTCCATCTTTCTTTTAATGTCGTCCTTCATTCAAACAGCATCAACATTTTACTTCAGTCAGTCAAGTCGAGTTTTTGGCACTTGAAAATCCCTAATCAGAGGCAGATATAACTATTGCGAGCCTTATAAACGCTGAGACGCGTATACCTTAAATGTTGTATTGGCCAACTTGTGCAATAGATACCTGTTTTTATAGTTTCAGCAGTTGAAGAGCTCGAGTTACGAAAGTTGAAGAAATAAGTTACGCACCCTTTTCAATCTCAAAACGAGCTATAGTGGAGGGTACTTGTTTCACAAGTTAAAACTAAATACTAATACATAGATGTAACAGAAGGAAAATTTCTTTAAAAACGGTAGGTCATGACAACTTTTCTAACATCTCGGTGAGATCTCGCAAATTAACAACTGGTTTCTTACCGTTAATTTTCGATTTTTTTTGCGTTCGTTGAAGTGTTTGTAGTATCACGTTACAACAAAATTATAACGAATATTAAGACTTCCTTTTTTATGACAGTAGCTTGCAAACGTAAGTCACAAACAGAAGAGAAAGCCTGCTTTTCGACGTGTTTTGAAAACTATTTAAGAGGAGCCCTATCCGAGGGATGCAATTTGACAGCTTAAACTGTTTCACTAAACAAAATTTCTTTAAAATTCGAATTAAGCTATCATGTAGGAGTATTTCATATGTAAATTCTCGTTTCATGTCATGTCGACTATGTAATTTCTTGATATGGCGAATAAGTTTTCGCCGGATAAATTTCTCACTTCTAATTTTGTGAAAATATTTTGTCAAACCGGTTAAAACCTTCCCTTCAAAATAAAAAAAAAGGGTTTGAAAGATCCACCAATGAATCATCAATCGCTAGTTGTTTGGAGGCAGGTGTAAACGTCAAAATCGCCCAACTCTTTTTTGCAGATATATATGTGTTAAGCTCAGTCTTTTTCATAATAAGAGCACATTCGATTGAGTGTCATAAAACCAAAACAGAAGAAAGCGAGAGGCTAACGAGAAAAAACCACAAGGAGCCACTGAATATGTCTTAAATGATCTTTCAAATTGGTCCCAGGCAATTAGCTTGAGGCTCGAGTTGATAAAGAATTGTACTTTTGAATATAGAACCAAAGCAAGATAACTCTGAAAATATAGACCCGATTTGGAGAAACAATTCTGGATTTCTGAAACCCTACTTAAATTAAATTGAGACACTTTCCACTGTTTCATTAAACAAATTCTTTTTACAATTCGAATTAATTTGTCATAAATGAGTATTTAATGTATAAATTCTCATTTCATATCATATCGACCATGTAATTTCTTGATATGGTGAATAACTTCTTGCCTTTATAAATTGTAATTTCGATCTTTCATTTTGTGATGGGTCTTTCTAATGAAAATATTTGTTCAAACCGGTTGAAACCTTCTCTTCTAAAGAAAAAAGGGATTGAGATGTGTGTAGCGAACGCACCGACAAAATTTCAAAACGGTCACACGAACCATACAATCTATTCGTAACCAGTGGTTTCTGAAACATGATTAACTTAAATTACACTACAGCCAACTACCGACAAAAATGATTACGATCACAAAGCGCAACATCAAACGGCAAAAGACAACGCAAAACGTACCTGACGGCTTGGATAGATGGAGTACACGAGATGCAGCAAAGAAAGGATCATAGCACGACAAACTGCATAACATTATTGTCTTTTCGCGCGAAAATTTCAATATATATATATGGACGCGAGGGGACTGAAGCCTAATTTGCAGATAAACCGCTGGCCCTTAAATTTGTTGTAACAATGTGAATAAATGAATCATCAAACGTTAGAGGGAGGGCTGGTCAAGAGCATAAGTGTGTATCATTGCCTAAGCGTGCTTCTACAGTAATCCTGAAAGTCTTATCTAGAGTCATGTTTTGAAGCAGTTCTTGCGTTCCTGTTGATTGTGTCGATAGCGAATCCATTGCTTCCATAATGCCCAGTCTCGTTAGGGAGAAATCAGTGCATTTGCCATCATCATTCGAGTGGTGAATTCTAATCTGAGCCCTCAGTGTGATGTCGCAATAATACTGCTATGAAAAATATAATTGGACGAGTTTAATTACCAAATCAAACAGATAAACTGAGAGCAGTCTACGACAGTGTTGTAGAGACCTGATTCATCGATTCTTTGTGGGATGTCGCCCAACTCGAACTGAAATTTGTGAAAAGATACGGGCCAGAGAAGTTACATATATTGGCACAAGCATCTTTCTCCTTTAATAAGATACATGAAAAAATTACTCAGTTCTGACTGGTTAAGATAAATGCAGATGTGATTCAATGCAGAAGAGGGTTGAAACATTTCTATGTAGGAAAGCTTTTAGTTTGTTTCAATAGTTCTAATGTTTATTGCCTTTGAATATTTTAATTTTAATTAGTATAGCACTTTAACTTATGTAAAGTGCTTCTGAATATTGTTTATAGTTTTAGCACAATATAAATTCCTTATCATTATCATTACCATTAATTCAGTGCAAAGAAGTAACAAACCAGACTGAACAATTCCTTGAACTGTTTAGCCGGACTTTGAAGTTTTGTG